CGTCTCTCACGGCCACATAGTCTCTACTCCCTGCCGCTGCAAGCGCTAGCAAAACGCTGGTGCCGCTGGAGAAACGCTGGTGAAGCTAGATCGATAGCTATGCTTCCCGTGCCCTCGCTACGCCAGCAGCGCTAGCGCTAGCGTACGCCAGCGTGCCGCTGGTGACGCTGGTGAAGCTAGATCGATATGCATCCTCTCTTCGGCACTGCCGCTGGCGTACGCTGGAAGCGCTACGCTACGCTGCCGCAAAGTATAAACGCAGCCTTATAGATATCAAACTGGCGAAGCCAGCTTCTTCGCGGGTATATTAGCATGAGCAAAACTACCCGCGAAGACGCTGGTTTCGTTGGCATATGCTGGCGTTCGCTAGATCGATATCCATGCTTTTTTAGTCGCTAGCATACGTTCGAAACACTGCCGTGCTCCTCGCAAAGTATGAACGCGGCCTTGCCATGGATTATACCTTTTCTGATGGTAGGTCAAAATCTTAGATTTATCTGGAAATGTTTTCAGGGATTATCTGACTCCTTCAACACGAATGTAATCAATGAAACACGAAACGTAATCAATGAAAACGCATTTGGTGCGCGCTGCGGCTGCGGACACGCTTATGCCAACGCGTTCATATGAAGAAACTTAGAAGAAAACCCCTCATAACTCCCACAAAGAATAGTGTGGCAGTTCCTGTGAGCGAACTCGAAAACCATTCCTGTCAAGCTTGGTAAGGAAAACAATTCAAAGGGCAACAAACTACGTTTCCAAACTTTGGTAGAGCTAGGGAAAGTGGAGGAGAGTAGTACATCGAGAAATACAATCAACTACACTGCCTACCTGACAGATAGCAACAAAATCGGCATGTTTGTTGCTGGTGAACAACTTCACGAGTACGTCGAGTAGCTGAGTACGTAGCTGAACGTCCATCTTGGCACTAGTAACTTTCTGTATTGTTTCCAACAGAAGAACTAAAAGTGGTAGAATAGCCACATAATAACCTAATATTGACGAAAGGAAAAAGTATATTAAAAATTGAGTACATTCACATACCGTGCGACTCAGCACTCTTGGTAATCGCCTTTTCAACCATATCGATGCGACGAGTATCTAACGCGAGGCCGATGACATACAGAAGCTCATTCTGTAAGAGAATGGCTAGGATTACTGAGCTCGATCCTCTACAAACAGAGGTTATTTTCCACAAGTATTGGTAAGTGGCCGAAGCGAGGGAATATCTGTGAGAAGGGACCGCATTCGCAGCAGCCCAGAGAGTACCACAGTTACCAATTATG